AATGTCAACCACAATGTCTACATCTAGACATTGTGAAGAAAAACTTACCAAAATGATATAAGATCATTCAAATAAGGAAAGAGATATTTTATTTATTGTTTTTTCATTGGCTATCTCTCATACCACGTATGCATCGTTAACGTTTTAGTATTGAAGATGCTCTTAGTGTTTTTTAATACTAGATTCTCACCCGCGTGATGCGCGGGATATAAGAATGAAATAGTCATATGATATTATTTGTAAACAATGTACGCGTGTGAAATGTTTGGAAATTGTGTTACTCGAAACATGCATTAGAACTTTTGATTGAATATTGAAAACTCAGAGATAGATAGTAAGTATGTGTTGGAATAAGTAGATAAAAGGAAATGTTAGATAGTGTTTCACAGTCTACACATTGCGAAAAACTTCTTTATAAACAACATTTGTGGTATGGTACGTTGGTTGACCATCTTCATCGCATATTAATATCTTCAAACCCTTAGGATTTGTTACCCTTGACACTGCAACATAAAGTTGACCATGTGTAAACACCGACTTTTTCAATAAGAGTCCAACATGAGTCAAAGATTGTCCTTGACTCTTATTTATAGTCATCGCATAAGAGGTCATGACGGGAAATTGTCTTCGCTGAAACTTGAACGGTATTCTTGAATCTGAAGGAGTTAAGCTCAACCTCGGAATGACAACTTCATGTCCCACATATTTGCCGCCCATGATTTTTGCCCCTATGATGTGATTTCCAAGTCGTGTAACAATTAACCTTGTTCCATTGCAAAGCCCCATCGATGGATCAATATTCCTTAAAAGCATTATTGGAGTACCAACCTTGAGGGTTAACTCATGGTTTGGAACTCCAGACGCTCTTATTTTGTTCAGAAATTCTGGAGTATGTAAATCAGCCAGAAAATCAACATTGGAGTCTGACTTGCAAATGGTATCTGAACTCAGATAGGTTCTTGACTCTTCGTTAACATTCAGAGAAGTCATGTATTCATTGATTGCATCTACAACATCGAGGGTTGGAGCCAGGATTGCGCGGTGTTGCAAGTACGTCGGGTCATTGACAATATTCTCAAAGTTTGGGTAGGTGCTATGGACAATAGTGGCAATGGGGTCGCTTCCACACTCTAACAAAAACTCTTTTGGAATTTGAACATCGGCAAAACCATCATTATCTTCCCCCACATTCCCGTCCCCTAAACTCGCAATCCACTTTGCAAACTCAAGCAAATCTTCATATTCATGATCACCAGTCAATGATTGCAACCTCATGTTCTTCGTCAAACGTAATACCAAGCACTGTGCCCAAATATAGGAAGAATTAATCGTGGCATTCACAATGTCTTGTCTAGTTCCTTTTGTAACGACGGGTAAAATTTGTCTGAAATCTCCCCCGAATACCACAGTTTTCCCTCCAAATATTTTTCATCACTATTTGAATTAGTGAATCTCAAGATGTCCCGCAAACTTCTATCTAAGGCCTCGAAGCAATACTTGTGCATCATCGGCGCCTCATCCCATATAATCAGTTTGCAACGAATGATCAATTGAGCAAGTGCACTACCCTGTTTGATGTTGCACGTGGAGTTTTCATTAGGGTTGATTGGTATTGCAAAGCGTGAATGAGCCGTCCTACCGCCTGGTAACAATAAAGCTGCTATGCCACTTGAAGCAACATTCAAAACAATTTCTCATTTGGACCTCAAAGCAGCTGACAACGTCTTCCACACAAACGTTTTCCCTGTACCTCCATAACCATATACAAAGAACACCCCATCACTGTTTTTTTCAATAGATTGCATAATGGTTGTGTACACCTGACGTTGTTCATCCTTGAGACTCAGTATGCATCTGTCATGCTCTTCACGTAGAGCAGCACGATCGTATTGCAATTCGTCAAAAATCAGTCTGTTTTGATACATGGCAGTATCACTTATCGTGGAAAATGGCATTGATGGATAGTCCTTTAAAGTCCTACCGATCCTTCTCAACATCATATGATAATTCTTGCAATTCGTCAATGCATAATTCTTAATCTCATCCTCGGTCAACTTCAAATATGATATTACACGTATGAAAAGACCATTATCAAATAACATGTGTAATATATAATGTATGGTTTTGAATATACATGCACACACACACACACACACATTCATAGTTGTGTATAGGTATATGTATGTTTGAAATTAAAATTGTTTAATACCTGGATGCATTAACGCTCTTCTTTGCCTGTGTAGAATGTCATCTGACATAAATGTACAACACTTGTCCCACACATATTCTGGTCTACTCATTGTATCTGCTGCCAATAAGATCACAAACAACTTTCTAAGTAACCATGCAGTAGCCCAATAACTACATTCTGAAAACCCTTCAACGTACTCCTTGTCATCGTCCAACAACCCTAAAGCGAAACATGCCTCGCGATATGTATTATGAATAATTCCGTCCACAGTTCTCAGATAATCATAGCTTGTAGCCCCACGCTTCAAATTAAGCACACATCGCAAATAATAAGACTCTCCTGAACCCGGTGGCACATACGTTAGACGGCCTATTGCAAATCCTTTTTGTCGAGGTACAAATTCTCTTGTTTTTGCTTTCCACACAAACTTTTGTGGGAATTCCGCATAAGTTAGATCCCTTGCCTCGGGGTACTTAGCATTTGCTTTCATCCATGCAAGAAACATACTCTCCTTAACAGATTCACGCAACACGACATCATTAACTGATGCACCATCTTCGAAATACACATATTGTTCATTGTGGAAGTGAAAGCTCAATCGTTCAACAGGTGGATTCTTATACTGAATTTGAAATCCATAAATTCTCCACATTGCCTCACATGGAGAAATATACCGACAATCATAGTACAGTTTTATTTCATCAACAGGTTTGTCAGTGTGATCTTTACCAGTTGTCTCATAAAATCCAGCTGTGACACAATCGTGTCCCTTGTTGACGTATTTGAATAAATACTTTATACACCTGGATTGGTTGCACCACTCGACATTCAGATGAGCACCGTACCTCATTAATAACGACCGGTTGTGGGGGACAACATATCTATTGTCTAATGGAACACCACCTTTGACAATTGTTCTTCCATCATTTCGCCTCCTATATTTAGGATAACCCTCTTCATCAACATTAGTTTCCTCGTTGAAATTCTTTGGGAAGTGCTTCAAACACTTAGATTGAACCATGAAAGGACCTTTCTTTGCATCAGTGCCACATGGTCCGTGCATCATATGTGTGCACACTGCTTTGAAATAGTTAGGATCACCCTTCTCATCAGGAATTTCAGCTGATATAATGCGGTCAATGTCTTCTGGCGTCGGATATTTGTCTGTGTTCCCCATGAATAATAAAATATGAACATGAGGTAAGCCACGCTTCTGGAATTCAACCGTGTAAATGACTGCAAGAAGTGAATGTAACAATTTTTTCACACACACATACGCATACATGTAAATGTGTAATCTATATAAATGTATAAACATGATATTTAACATACCTGCTCGAATTTCTCCAAATATCTTACCTTGTCTTAGATACTTGATTAAGCCATCCAACTTCATCTTAAACACTCGACAAACTATATCCGGACGATCTTCGGGATTCAAATTCCTTGAAGAAAGGAATGTATTAATCTCTGGCCATCTCAGGTTACATGTGAACGTCAAAAATAGATCTAGGTACCCTACCCATCGACATATAGCCATGGCATCCTGATAATTTTGAACCATGTACCGAGCACCCCCAACGAATGTAGGTGGAAGGACAACACGCTTGCCCTGTGTTGACGCATCTCTCTCACCGCTCAACAAAGCATCTGATAGCCCTTTGTACATTTCACACCTCAGTTCTTTTTGATGAGTTCTAATATACATTAGCCTTGATGACTCAACCATCGTGTATCCATCTACCGTGAACTGTTGGAACAGTCTCCTTCTTTTAAGAATAAAAGAGTCATCCTTTGATCGTTCATGCAATCTGTAACAAAGGAACTCTCTAATGCTAACACTTCGTCGACCGCCAATGTTTGACACTTTATCCTCAGAAAAGGATATATCCTCCCTGTACCCATCCTCACCATACGGAAACAAAAGTGGATATTGCAATCCCATATAAGCTGGATTTAGCTCATTTATTCTTTTCAAGTACCCTCCTTGAGTTTCAACCATTATATCCCTTTGCCCTAGTGCTTCATCAAAATCACCTACTACCAATGCCGCAACCTCTGAGACTGTCGGTAAATTATAAGTTCTGGCATCTTTGGTTCTCCTACCTATTAACTGCAGGGATACTTTTCTTTCCTCGCCCTCTGCTAGTTTATCTCTGACCATTCTGAAGGACTTAACTAAAACATTATGTTGGTCTAACATTTTCCTTAATGTAGTCACAATATGTGCATGCAAATTGTTCTCCTTTTTATCATCCCTGGATTTATTTAACTAAATTTCATAAAAAACAGCATAACTACAAATCTGAATATGTGTGCATGACTACATGAGTATAATAAATTTAAACTTCAAAATTACCTCACTGAGCTCAAACGATTAGCATCCTCATGATGTGTGTCATATATGTACAGTTGTGCAAATTTCGGCACACATCCTTCTTGCGGTAGCAAACTTCCAATGAGGTGATAGTTCTGGCCTCCTAGTTTAAAGATAGGGGGAGATCCACCAACGTTTTGTGTTCTATCCACCTTTCCTCCCATGGAAGTGAACGAAAACATGCTGTTGTATGAGCGAATGTTCTCCTGAAAGTGTTTAGAAACTGCATTTGTGCCATCAATGAACTGCTGCAGTTCCACGGGGGGCTCTTTCAAACGTGGTAGTTTAATTTTTCCCTTACCGCAACACAAAGAATACTTTGGGTTTTCTTTTGTAGAACCTTGGATAACTCTTTCTTCATACCAAAACAATGCTCCACAAGCTGCACAACTGTGTGTAACACCCCCAAATTTCCCACCCAAAACGTTGACATAATTGAAATAAAACTTTTATTTATTCATCAAAGAGTTAAAGAAATACAGCGGAAGTCTAAAATAGGGAAATGGGTGTTACCGCCACATCCGGTCATCTCTCAACCGGATGCACAGGCAACTAGAACATAACAACTAATTTAATAAAAGTAAAGTGTTTGAAAAGTAAATGTTTATTTCATGACTAGTATAACTAAGGCGATTTCTAACTCGCTCTGGGCCATGCAAGCAATCATCACTCGACAACATCATCCTCACCTGCACAAATAAAGTGCAGAAACAAAACAAGGAAAAGAAAACAAAAATTAGCTTTAGAGCTAAGTAAGTACTACCCAACCCCGTAAAATAATCATGTTTGACTAAGATAGATTTTTATATAATAATATATAAAAATACTCACACCATCGAAATTCTTTTCACTTTGATTTTTCTCAAGACTACTTCTTTACAAAGATCCTCAACTTCTCTATAAAACTTCATAATAACTCTTCTCTTTGATTTCCTCAAAAATCACTTCTTCTCTAACTTCCTAGTAATTTAGAAGGGCGGTGCTCAACCTTTCGGTAGAGCCTGGTGGACCGTGGTTACGGACGGCCACCCCAAACAAGTGTCGGTACCACAACTGCTCTGTTGGAAACGAAACGACTACCTTAAGTGTGCACACCCCCTAAAAGGGATTCCAAACCCCCCGAGTAGTAAGTCGTAACGAGTAGTCGGGACTCAGTCTACCAACTACCCCTGAATAAGATATCTTGAATGATTAGGGACTACTACTACTCTAACTTCTTCTTAAAAGGGATCATCGATCCAAATATCACTTTTAAACTCAAACTGTACTTCTTAGTAGTAGCAGACCTAATCACCCTCCACATTTATCCGGACGTGGAAAACCGACACCTCGGATTACTCCCGAGATGTTCACTTGTTATGAAAATGTAAATTTTATCTTCAATAAATAATACTTCAAAAATACTTCTCAATTTCTCTAAAAAGTCTTGAAGGTATTTAAAAATATTTAATACCCCAAAAGTACTTAATTTATATTTCTCAACTACCATATATATAATATCCCTTCACAATTCTCATACACAAAATTCAACAATTCACACTTATTCACATAATGCATAATAAGCATATAATACGAGGAAACAATTTTAGATTGGCAGAGAAACTTACCTCTAGTCCGGGTGCTCCTAATTCTCTTCTTCTACTCCGGTCTCTAAATAATCACATTTTTAATTAAGATGATATAATTAGTCACTTACTCTTTAATAATTATTTTACTCGATTTTTACCTTTTATTTTATTTTTTCGAATTCACTAATTCAATTATTTTATTATCCGCGTTAATCACTTCTTATTAATTAAATTACCTTATTAATTCAGTCGTTAATTAAAATACTTAAATTCTAAAATATACGAATATAATTAATTACAATATCAAATTTCTAATTTAATAATCATCTTTTTATTTACTCAACTCCTAAAGCATTTGGTATGTCTTAATATTATATCCGAATTATTTTTAATCTAACTAATCAAATATCGAAATTAGTTTATATTAACATTATTAGCATTAATAAATCCGAATTAACTAACATATTCTGATTTTATTAATTACTTAAACACTTAATATTTTAAATTCCGTAATTATGCAAATTTTATATTACTCTACCTTAATTAGTCCAATAATTAGTGAAAACAAAATCTACCAATTTATTTAATCTAATTATGATACGAAGTCCAAACAATTATTTTAATATAATATTCTTTAATGAATATTAAACTATAAATTCATTCCATCGATAATAAAAAATTTTATTATTTAATTACTTAATTAGCTTCATATGGTCCAATTTAATAAAATAGCCAAGAGTCGACTTTATAAATTAATAACCGTCCATAACTATATTTTGGTTCTACATTTGGCTTAGGTTGTCCAAATATTTATTTTATAACTCATTTTCCTTAATTATTCATTTATTTTCGTATATCAAATAACCGGTCCATCTACAATTAAATATACTAATATTAATTTTTATTATTTATAAATGGTCCATAATGTCTTAGTTAGTCTTATAATTATCCTAGTTTACTCCAATATTTATTTCATAATTAATTTCGCCATTTACTTATTTATTTACTAATTGTGTACAAATTGGCCCAATTACCATTAAATCAATTAAAAATAGCTAAAAATATTATTTTTCAATTCTGGTTGGTCCGAACATGTATAATTACACCAGGTATTTAATTTATATTTTTCCAGATTTTATTTATTTCATTTACCATTTTATTTTTAATTTTTACTGCAACTGGGCCGAACTGGCCCAAATTTAATTCTTCTGGCCCAAAGATCAGGCCCACAAGACAGACCCCAGCCTTGGCTGGGTCGTCTTCTTCGCTGAGTCACCGGAAAAACGGGGAAAAGAAGAAAAAACGGGGAAGAGGTTTTACCTCGTCGGAAACGGCCAACGGGGTAGCGGTGCACTCCTCTCGGGACGGCGAAGGTCGGTGAAGGGTTGGCGGCGGCGACGGCGGCTCCTGCTCCTCCGTTTTCTGTCGGGAAAGTTTTCCCGGCGAAACTCCGGCGAGCTTTTTCTCCCTCGTTTCACGACCGTTTTCAATGATTCTTCCTCCGTTGGATTCCTCTCACGAAGGGGAAGGTCTGGGACGCGTTTTCAGGGCTCGGTTTTGAGTCTAGCGATGGGTTGGAAAAATTCAGATATATATATATATATATATATATATATATATATATATATATATATATATATATATATATATATGCGTTTTCCGACGGGAATTTTTGGGATGAAAGGCCAGGCAGTTGATTATGCTATTTATAGAGATGGTTGGGTGTAAAGCTTCTGATTCAGATCCTAAAATCCTGCTCCGATAATTTTTTTTTCTTTTTGCACATTTCATACGTTGGAGGATCATCCTCCATAAATAATTTTTTAAAAAAAAAAAAATTCCTTCTTGATGGTTTTGTAACTGATGCGTAAGTTAAAAAGAAAATCTTGTTTCTTTAATATGCAGGTCAAAAAAAACGTATAGAATTATACGTGGTGTTATACGTTAGTATAATTTATATATTTAGGGGTAAAAATGGGAATTGTGTTTTGTAAAAATAAAATGTAGCTTTTACTTCTTATGTCATATGTATAATTGGTACTTGATATAAAATATTACTTCTTTTATCGGACCATTTTTATCTGACTAAAAATGTCACAATTGTTAATTTTCTGTCTGGTTCACTTGTTTCATAAAATGTTGTTCCTATTACTGAAATATTTTTATCTGACTAAGACGTCATAAATTTTGAAATTTTTATCTGATTAGAATGTTACAACTGTTGAATTTTTGTCTGACTCAATTAATAATTAAAATGTCACTTCCGCAATATTTTATGATTTATCTGGCTAAAAATTATTTTTATTTTTTATTTAAATTTTTGGAGTGTCACAGTGTGGCGCATCACCAATGCTCCAATATTCAGCGTTAGGTATGTCTGTGAGAAATTAAGAAAACCAAAACCTTCATATCAAAATGTGCCTTTCTGTCTAATAATTGTAGGTTTTAATCGGTGTACTCAAATATCAGCACACCTTCGAGATCGTGTATTTGATGACCCAAGATATCATCTTCTTCTCTTGATAGATCATTACATGGTTCTTGATGGTCACAGTGAACTCCCCAAGATTCTTCCATATGAATTCCGATAGAGGATTGCCCCCTTGGGAAGCCATTAAATGGCAAATGAGGAACTAAAATTGACGGTGTAGCAAGAATAAGATAAATTATAAGTGACGTGTGCATTCATAATAAGTGGGTTTTGAAGTAAGTATAAATAAATAAATATTACAATAAGATTTTTAAAATCTACAAATTTCGAAAAAGTTCTTTGTAAACAACATTGGCAGTATGGTTTGTTTTCTCGCAATCTTCACTGCGAATCAATATTTTCAAACCCTTACGGTTTGTTACTCTTGATACTAATGCGTAAACACCGACTTTTTTAAATTGACCATGCGTAAACACCGACTTTTTTAAATTTAGCTTTTCAAAATAATTAGTCTAAAAATTGAAGTATACATTACAACATTTGACCAAGTTTATAGAGTATTTGCCTTAAAGAAAAACGAAAGTGACATATTACGGTTAAATTAAGCACTTAAAACATAAAAGCTTAAAGCATATGGATGAGTGTTTTAAATTATTTATAATTTTTTCAATAAATCAAAAAACACTTATTTTACTAAACACTACCAATTTTTTTCGAGAAACATATTTTTCTAAAAAATTATCAACTTTTACTATAAAGCACTTTTTCCAAATCAGTTTAAAAACGCTTCTTTAAAGTAGAAGCAACCTCAAACATTCCCCCCTCATGGTTAACTTTACATTATAATGACAAAAGTTACAAATTGTAAAGATTCGGACAAAACTCTTCCAAAACCGTAAGTTTCCATGTATTTAATTTTTTATTTATATTATGTCTATATTTTGTCACATATTTTGTCATTTTTGTATATAGAAAAATACTTGGTCCAACTCATTTTTTTTGGACATTATTTATAAGGTAAATACACAATTATGAATTATGTAGTAAGTAAAATTAGTAAGGTGCTATTACTATGCTATTATCAATTATACAATTAACAATAATATTTATACAATTAGTATAAATAAATAAATATTGCAATAAGTTTTTGAAAATCTACAAATTTCGAAAAACTTCTTTGTAAACAACATTGGCAGTATTGTTTGTTTTCTCGCCATCTTCACTTCAAATCAATATTTTCAAACCCTTACGGTTGGTTACTCTTCATACTAATGCGTAAAACCGACTTTTTTAAATTTAGCTTTTCAAAATTATTAGTCTAAAAATTGAACTATACATTACAACATTTGACCATGTTTATAGAGTATTTGCCTTAGAGAAAAACGAAAGTGATTTTCAGTTTTTGGTTAAAAAATTGAAATAAGTGTTTTAAAGTGACATATTACGATTAAATTAAGCACTTCAAACATAAAAGCTTAAAGCATATGGATGAGTGTTTTAAATTATTTATAATTATAATTTTTTAATTACTCAAAAAACACTTATTTTACTAAACACTAACAATTTTTTTCTAGAAACAAATTTTTCTCATAAATTATCAACTTTTACTGTAAAGTACTTTTTCCAAATCACTTTAAAAACACTTCTTTAAAGTAGAAGCAACCTCAAACATTCCCCCCTCAGTGTTAAATTTACATTATAATGACAAAAGTTACAAATGGTAAAGATTTGGAAAAAACTCTTCAAAAAGATTAGGTTTCAATGTATTTACGTAGCAAGAATAAGATAAATGATGCTCTATTGTATTTTATACGTAAATTTTGGTTACAGAAATCATCCATTTCTTCTTCTCCGAAAAATAAGACTCGTATAACAAACAATACACAGTAATTTTGTTCACAACAGTAAGACAAAAATGACTTTTAATGAATATTGCAAACAATACATATATTTATAATTACCGCTTCTTTTAGCAGCCAACACTTTAGAAGTGCCCACAACTTCATTTGTTGTTGTGTTGACAGAAGAGCCTATTTTAGGTAAATCACAGCGGAGAACATGTTTGGTGCGATTTGGATCACAATTTTCTGTGGAAGATAAACAAAACAATGAGCATATTAAAATCTATCATGTAACTAACTATTTTAGTAATGAACAATTTTATAAATTGAAAATAACATTTTTTACTATATTTTATCATTTTGTTTAGATTCACACGCCTTTTTTACTAAAGTAACTTTTTTAGTAAATTAAAATTAATCTACTGGAGAAATTATGTAAAACATATTTATGTATTTTTTGTATAATATATTAATCCATTTATGAAATGTATTAATAATTAATGTCCCTCATTTATTAATAATTATTAATTAATAATTAATATTAATATTTATATTAATATTAATATTTAATATTAATAATACTCACTCCGTCCCATTGGACTTTGTCAACATTCACTTTTTTGTTGTCCTAACAAACTTTGCCACTTTCCTATTAATAATACTTCCTAGTATTGTTTGAGAAAGTCTAACAATAAAATAATATTTTTTTATACTTGCTTTAATATAGATTAATAACAATCTTTGTAATAATATTATGGTATAATAACATAATATTTTTTGCAGAATAATGAATTATAATTTATAATTTATAATATGAAAACATAATTTATAATCTATAATAACATTATAATATAATATAGTTTTTAAAATATAGTTTCTATAATACATAAAAATACCTCAGCCCAAACAACTCAGCCCAATTTTAAAATATAGTTTCTATAATACATAAAAATACCTCAGCCCAAAGAACTACTCCCTAAGCCTAATATACTTCAGTAATAACCTAGGCCCAACCGTCCAGCCCAATCCCTAAGCCTGACCACCCAACTATATAAACACTCTACCCACTGATCACCCTTCGGTCCGATCCTTTACCCTGCGGCTGCCTTCTACAACCTTCGGTTCTTCCGGTCGTTTCTGTGTTTTGCGTTAATGCTCCAGTTCTGAGCCATCAGCCTCACTAAAACCTTCCGATTATGTGTAGATTTTGCTTTCGTCCTCAACAATAATTTAGCTCTCCACCTGACCATTTTGCTTAACACCATGAACGAAGTTCATACCACCTTGAGTGATAATGAAGGATTTCAGAGACCCATCATTTCGATTGTGGTATACATCTCATATCTTATCGTTTTGTATTACAGTTCCTTTGATTTGTCCTCATAAATTTTAAATTTAGGGTTTTTTGTCATTAATATTCCGGTGTTCAACTCATTTGGCCGATGTGGTCTTATTGAACCACTACGACGGCGGAAAACACCTATTCAGATCCAAACATTTTAGATCTGCTTTGTTCTTCAGTTTTATTTTTTTGAGTTGATTTTTTTAGTTTCATTTTCAAACCGGGTCGAGTGACATTCCATGATCTTAGACCTAGGTTTTTTCAATCTGTGAACTTGCATGTCATACCACCTTGAGTGATAATGAAGGATTTCAGAGATGCCATCGTTTCGATTGTGGTATACATCTCATATCTCTTATCCTTTTATATTACAATTCCTTTGATTTGTTCTCATATATTTAAATTTAGGATCTTTTTCAGTAATGTTCCGGTGTTCAACTCATTTGGCCGATGTGGTCTTATTGAACCACTACGACGGTGGATAACACCTGATCAGATCCAAACATTTTAAATCTGCTTTGTTCTTCAGTTTTTGTTTTGAGTTGATTTTTTTAGGTCCATTTTCAAACCGGGTTGAGTGACATTCCATGATCTTAGACCTAGGTTTTTCCAATCTGTGAACTCGCATGTCATCTGGATGATCAGATGTTAAAGCCACGAAAAATATGTATGCGTTTCTACATAAAAATACCCTTGGAATGTAGTTTTATTTCAGATCTGAGTCTGCTTTCAACCCATTCATATTTTAAATATATGCTTTCATTTTATGTTATGCACTTGTTTGAATGATACCACATGATCTCAGTCTGAGTGATACCTAATTATCTTAAACGTTATTGTTATTCTACTTAGCATATTTGGGTCATTTCTGTTTAAAAATTCAAACTTTGTTAAGTATTATACCCTATTCCTAAAAGGATCTCAGATCTGTT